GACGTTTTCAAAACCACTTGTATTCTCATGTAATCATTAGTCGGATGGGACTAAACTTTTGGGACGCAATGCAAAGACATCACACTTATATATTTTGTTTTCATACAGTAATTAGATTCGAAATAATTAACGTTTGAAACATGTAACTTATCTAATTATAATGTATTATGGTTGTTTATGTACTTGTGTATCGATGTATTTTATTATTGTGATACTACGTTCCCTTCCATAGAAGTACCAGGAAGCTCCCATGGATCATGTTTGTAGAGATAAAAATCGATGATGGTTGATGGTGGAAAAGCGACACCATTGGAACCCTGTTTTCGATTGAGACTTGCGGCATAAATACTGAAAAATGAGCTCCTTGTGGGGTGAAATCGAAAACCTAGTGGTTAGTTGGAGATCTAATGGTCTCAGTGGTGGTGGTGGCGTGAAAACCAAACGATAGTTTGATGTTGATAGGGTGGGTGGGGTGGAGATGGGGATGGGTAGGGTATAATTTAAAAATAAATAAATAAATGGTTAAGAATTATTCTCATTGTTCTCGAAATAAGAAATTATTTCATTTGACACATGCACACGCGCACACACAAACACACACACACACACACACACATATATATATATATATATATATATATATATATATATATATATATATAAAGAGAGTGAAAGAAAATAAATTAGAAAACAATGTAAAAAATAATTTATTAATGGGAATGATTAATTAATATTTATGTTATGTAAATAAATATACAAAACCACTGTTTATTAGGTTGGAGGGAGTGATAATACTCTTACCACATTGACACATAAGTTTTTTTTATTACCATATAAGTTTAGCATGTATAGGTTGAAAAAGGTAGAGAGTAGTATAAGTTTAGCATGTATAGGTTGAAAAAGATAGGGAGTGGTACTGTGAAAAGTTTAACACGTTTTTTTTAAAAAAAAAAATAGCCACAACCAATCAGGATCCAGTTAAATATAAACCAACCAATCACATGCAAGCATCTCTTTGTCTCTCTCTCTCTCTCTTCGTCTCTCTCTGTCTCTCTCTCTCTCTCTATATATATATATATATGTGTGTGTGTGTGTGTGTGTGTGTTAAGAGCTTAGAGATTCACTACAAGAATAGTGTTTATTAGTAACCAATATCTTCATTTAGTCACCATATATTAAGTCGTCACTAAATTTGGTAAGTCTACAAATTTAATGACCAATTCTATGTTGTTGTCACTAAATCAGTCACTAAACTGTGAATAAAATTAAAATATATGCTTTTTGATATCATAACATGTAGGGACTAAAAATAATGGTCACTCTTTTATAGGATTAGTGACAAAAAATATTAGTCACTGCATTCGAGGTTAAGTGACTAAAAAAGGTGGTCAGTAACTATTCAACACCACTTAAACACGCTATGTGTTATATGCAATTGAAGTGCAAAAAAAAAAAATTAGTGACACAAATTGTGGTCACTGAATTGCAAACAATTAGTGACCAAAAATAATGGTCATTGGCTAAAAAAAGTAAAAATAAAATGTAAATTACAAAACCCACCACTTACGTACTTATCACACTCCAAAAACCTTAAAAAATTCACAATATTTTATTTAGGTATTTTTTTTTTATTTCATCTTAAATCTCACCCATATTTAATTGCTTAAAAAATATTTCATCGACTTTGTAAAGAAACATCCTTACATCACAAGGTATCCATGAGCAAGACCTGACCCATGAAATTGATCCCATTGAAACATATACTATCCGATCCAACTCACAAACCTTTCACAACCATTAAAAGAAATCAAATAAACACAAATGTTGACATAATCATCCCTAAAGAAATTGATCCCATTGAATTACAGCAATCCTTTTGCACAAATATGTATTACATATGCTTGTAAATCATTTGAAATGAAATTTTAGTTAAATCACTATGATGCCCTTCACCATGATGTGATGTTTGTGCAGAATGTACAAGATCCTGTTTTGTGGGGAGGGTATGAAGTGGAGAAAATGATTATGGAAGAATAGGCGCCCCTTGAAAATTTTTTTCACCAGGTGCACTTCTTGGGTTTATGCTCAATTTTTTGTAGCTATTGATCCTGTTTTAACGTGTGAATTAAACAATTATACCTAAATGCATACATGAAGTAATATAGTTAACAATATCCAATGTCTGACAATCAGTATCACATCTTAACTATCACCGTTGTTAACTTTTACCATATTTGGGTATTCTAGGTTTAAGAAACATAGTAATTAATTGATATGATTAGGTTAAATAGGATGATTAAAAATCCCATTTATTTTGTGTCCAGATCGAAAAGATAAAAATTTAAGATATATGGGTATTGTCTTATCAAGTTTGTACGTAATCCAGTCTACCTTATTGGACACAGTTGTATTCACAGGAAAATTTGATTCTTTATTATTCCTAATTTTTATCATATCCACTTCACATGTATGTTGCTCCCAAGTCCTAATTCTTACTAATGTTTGCTTAACTGCCTTCTGCCAATCACCAAATTAGATCACAAGGGTTGTCAAGGATATAATGCACAAGAGATTGCATTATTTTTAAGAACACTTGCTTTTGATAAAAATATTGCTATTTGTTTTACTCAATCATGATGGGATAGTAGCCTTGATGCTTTGAAAGAACTCTTCACCAAATCTTACACAAAGGTGAGACGTAACACACAAAAAAGAAGAACATTTAAATTTTTTGATTTAATTTGAGTTATTGATTGAATGATCGATTGATTTCAGAAGGGAATAATGACAATGGACAAGAGGTCAAAGTTTCTTAAATCTGAATATGAGAAGGTGATAAACTTCTACATATGTTTAAAGATTGATGTAATATTTTTATTTTTTCATGGTAAAGAAGAGGCCGAATCCATCTTCTTTAAACATCATGTATAATCCTACTTTGTACAAAGGTGAGTATATGTGTTTTTACCTTTTAGTCATTTACGTATTGTATGTTACGGGTTTTGTTTAAATTTGAGAACAGTTTATGCTTATCATTAGATGACATATATTTTGATAAAATGATCATAGTATATCTTATCATTTACTAAGTTCAATGCTAATTACTTAAATGGGTTGTGAAGGTAATAAATAGCAACCAAAATCAGTGACGACTTTTTATGGTCACTATTTGGGTAAATAAGTGACCACTTTTTATGGTTACTGATTGGACAAAATAGTGAAAACCTTTTATGATCACTAATTATATAAAACAATGATGATTCTTAGTGATTAGTGACAACATTTAGTGATGAAATGGGTCGTTATTGATTTAGTGACCATTATATTTTAGTCACTAATTAGTGATCATTTTTATATTTTGGTCATTAATCAACTTTTGTGACGGACCTATAGTGACGAAAAGTGACGACTAGAAGTTTGGTCACTAAATCATTTAGTGACGACACCTTCTATAGTTAGTGATTATTTTAGTGATTTTGCTTGTGTGCGAGCTTATTTGAATTTGAATTTACAGCTACATTTAATACTCTTGTTCTTCTATTATTTAAGATTAGTTTGTTTCAACTTTCAACTAATACGAATACATCAGAAATAGTAAAGTTTTTTTTTGTCACAACGCTTAACTCTTCTTAGAAAGATTTTATAAGGGACAATGACTTAAAAGGTTAATATAATTTTTAATTTGTACACATTTGATCATTGTTTTTTTTGTCAACATTTACCGTTTTAACTTGTTTAAATGTACACATTTAGTCCTTATGACCGGCTACTCAGGTAAGCCGAAAAAATAACTTAAAAATATAATATATTTCTCATTTTGTATATATTTAGTCCTTAATATTGTTTTACCATTTAGTACTTAATATATTTTTTTGTTACAAAATAAATATTGTTGTTTTTGTATACATTCAATGTTTATGATTGTTTTTTTAAGTTTTTCTCACGACCTATTATGCGAGACAATCATTAACAATGTGTTTGAGGTTGTTCATGTTTATGGTCACCACGACATCGACTGTTTGGTTACTTATTTCTTGTGGTTTGGCATAGCCGCTTAGGTATTATGTTCTAAACATCGTAACTTCTTCATACGATCACAGATTTTAACGATCTTTATATCCACACATTTATATGAGAGTCTACTACAATTTTCGTTTATATTATTCTCATTAAAAAAATATATTTTTAATTACAATTTTATAAAAAAAAATGTTAATACATACATTCATAAAGAACACATGAATATAAAGATTGTAAGTAAAAATATATTACTTTTCAATGAGGGTAATCTAAATAAAAGTTGTAGTGGACTCAAATACGAACATGTGGATATAAAGATCATCAAAATTTGTGATCGTTTGAAGAAGTTCCGACGTTCAAAACACAAGACCTAAGCCAAACCATAATAACTAAGCAACCAAGCAGCCGACGCAGCATTGATCATAAGCATGAACATCTCCGAATACCTTATTAATGATTATTCCGTGTAAGATGTTGTGAGAAAAACCTAAACAAACAGCTCATAAATACTGAATGTGTATAAAAATGATTTATTAAACAACAAAGAAATATTAATGACTAAATGTGAAAAAAATATTAAGAATTAAATATGTACAAAATAAAAATATATTACTATTTTAAGTCATTTTTTCCAGTTTACCTTCGACATCTAGTAATAAAGACTAAATGCATATAGTTAAACAAGTTTAAGGACCAATTATATAAAAATCAAAAAATATATTGCATTTTAAAATCATTATCCCATCTCATAGCAATAAACAACAAATATCTACAACCTTCTACATTATTTGTAATTTTCCATTTCAACGACCTAGTGAACCATCAAAAATAAGAATTCCTAGTTGCAAATTTGATAAAACATTTATGTATGGCCACAACCTCGATTAAACCAATAACATCATTTTTACCAAGAAGGAGAAAAATAAAAATCAATTTACATGAGAAAGCGTCGTATCCTTGACAAATTAATGAGTCATGGATTAAAAATTGTTCTTCATGGATACTACAATCTCACTTGCAGAAGGTCTAACCATGGGTGAACTCCCAATACACATCTCAGCCAATGTAACCATAGCCCTCAACTCTTCCAAATCCAAGCTCTCATCGTATCTCAGCAGTGGATCCACCACCTCCTCCACTCCCACCACCCCACACACCACCGGACCAATAACATCCGTTAACTTCTCACCCTTCTCCAAGTTAAATGCTTCTCTCCCCGTAACAAGTTCAAGGAGTACAACTCCGTAGCTGTAAACATCGTTCTTCTTTGAAACTAATCCCGTTTTAAGATAATGTGGATCCATGTAACCTTGCGACCCCGTTATCATTCTCTTCATTTTCGTCGATGATGGAGGTAAAACCATGGAAGTAAACCCTAGTTTAGCTGACCCAAAATCGCAAAGTTTGCAGTTTAGCTGTTCATCTAAAAGTATATTAGAAGCCTTGATATCTCCATGAATAATATGCATCCCATGTAGATATTCTAAAGCTTCAGCAAGCTGTAAAGCGATCAACTTTCTGACTTTCCATGTCAGCGTTACGCTGCTGCTTACGTGAAGTTTATCATGTAATGTACCATTCGATGCATACTCAAACAAGAGAACACGCTCTTCTTCTCTATCGTCACAGTGTCCAAGAAGCTTCACGATGTTCGGGTGTTTTAGTCGGAGCAAGATTCGAAGCTCTTGGTCGTGAATCCCGGCTAGCCTCTCGGTGCAAGCCGATTGGATCTTGACAGCAGTTAAGCCGGAGTCCGGTAGTCTAGCTAGATACACGGTGCTAAACCCTCCGGAGCCGATGACCCTTGAGAAATTCCTGCTCCGTTTCCTTATCTCCTCCCATGAAAACTTCTTCACACAAGTTACACGACAAGTATCTTTGGTGTTGACAGCGGTGGTGCTAGTACAGCATCCACCACCATCTTCGCTAGCACAGTCGGCCACTTTATCGGAGATTGAAAAGCAACCGAAGAACTTGAGAAAAAACATCGAATCGAGCAAATTGGAGTTTGAGTGAAGCAGTAGTTTAAAGGATAGATGGATCGAGGTTGCTTATCTGGAATGAAATTGTAGATTGAAGGAGAAGCAAAAGGTGTACTTAAAGAAAGATGGGGAGGAGGGTGGTGTCAGTAAGGACTTGATCAAGGAGTTTGGTTGGTGCGTACGGACCCAATGGAAGGCAAAAGGAAGGTGGAATTGGAGTTAAATAGATTAGATGACCCACGGTCTACAATGTGAAAAGCCATTGCAATTTTATTATTGTCGGTGTGATCTTTGTTTTTATTGTTCTTGATTTTAACGGAAAAAAAAAATCAGAAGTATTGAAATGGAGAAGATAATATTATGATTTAGACCGGAGAGGGGGTTGTGGTCACTGCCGCACTTAGGTGCCATGTGTGTAGGAACAATCGCCACGCCCCATGTGTGTAGGAACAACCGCCACGCCCCCCCCCCCCCCCCCCCCCGGCAGTAAGGGTGTGGTAGGAGGTGCACTGTGACCGTAGAAGCAATGTTTTAAAACCCGAATTTTTAGTTGATCCGGTGTGATGATCAGTTTACTAGTTAACCGGTTGAATTGTTGGATCAACTCGATTTTTTTTTTTTTACTTTTTTCATAATGAATAAATATATAAAATCAATAATTTGATGTTCACAAAGTTTAAACATTGAATAAACCACAAACGGCTCGTTGTTTTGGCGTTCACTACTTAGATCCAACTATCCAAGATCTATTAAAACGGGTCAATCCAGTTTTAACCAATTCGACATAAGCAGTCAAACCACGATTTAGGGGAAACCCGACCGGTTCAATTCAGTCCATATTTTTACAAAAAAACCATTCTCAAATGACCCATCCTTTACTCCAGGTCACGGTTCAACCAGTTGAACTGGTCGGGTTGACCCGAGTTTTAAAACATTGCGTGGAAGTAGAAGGGTGCACTTGAGGGAGGAATGTGATTGGGTGGGTTTGTGACCGTTGCCATCCGCTGAACCTGAAACAATAAACTGAAACTGTAAGCCCAAAAGCTTAGTGAGTTAACCCCAAAATACCATCCTCATATAACCATAATCATAATCATACCATATCAACAAATACAAAAAAGCATGCATAATGAGCCTTCAGCCTGACTGGATCGTTCCCGAGCCTTCGACATGACTGGACCGCCTCGCAGGGCCTACAACCTATCCGGACCGCTCACCGGGTATGTTGGCCAACAACACAAAGCAGGACTGCCTAAACCCAACCCCCAACCAAACAAACATGTGCACATAAGTATCATACTCTACCTCATATCATATAACAGTTAAACCGATCTAACAGATCACTAATCGTAGCAACATCCCAATAACCGGGGTACAGACCTAACCGGTCACTAACATAGCATCATCCTATAACCAGGACAATCATGTGCACATAGATACCGTATAACACTAACATGTATGTGTATATATATATATATATATATATATATATATATATATATATATATATATATATATATATAACAGTCAAACTTATCTAACAGATCACAAAGCATAACAAATATCCTAACTAGGATACCGACCTAAACCAGTTCACAAACATAATATCGTCATAATTTACCAGGATGCCGATCTAATAGATCAATAAGCATATCAAACAAATACAAGTATACAATCCGAGAAAAGGGTCGGCCTTGGTGCCTTAGACCTTGTTGATATAATGAGGATAACTCACCTTGCAATGTCGGATTGAACCACAAAATCATGCTCCCGAAACACTACCCCAAACTCCAACACCTATAACAATCAAAGATCCAATTCATAAATACCCGATTACCAATTATCCTTAAAAGTCAAAACGGTCAACCCTTGCTCAAAGTCAAAGTTAACTATCAAGGCTAACAGTTCATGTTGACCTCAACTCGTCGAATACCCTCAGCTACTCGCTGAGTTCCTTGTATAACTTGCCAAATCGCCGAGTCATCATGCCAATCGCCGAGCCCAAGGCAATCTTCATCGGACTCGCTGAGTTGTTCAGCCAACCCGTTGAGTTCATAACCATCTTCATATGACTCGCTGAGTCTACCATGCGACTCACCGAATCCCTTCAGTCCTTCATCCATACAGATGCTTTTTAAGCCATGCTAAGGCTCCATACTACAGATCCAATTTCCTAAGGCATGCATATCACGTAAAGTTGCAAACTTTACGTGCATGCAAGGCTCTAATGACTCAAAATGCCAAAACCAAGCTTGAAATAAGGTTTTACACTTAAGGAGGGGTTCATACTTGCCAACGCTGATATCTTTATAGTCTTACAAATCAAAGAGAGTTCACATCTAAAGTTACAACTTCAGATCTGAGCTCATACCCAAGAATAGCTTCACAACCAAGCCAAGAAGCCCTAACTTCATCCAAAGAGATCTAGAAAGGAATGAGGCCAAGATCATGAATTGATACCTCAAATGAAGCTAGCGGAGATAGACTTCTAACCGACAAACGTTCTTGCCTCCAACTTGTTGATCTTCAAGTTTCTTGCATCAAGGTCTTCTTTCCAATCTAATTTACACTAATATGGAGCACACACACGAATTAGGGTTTCTGGACTCTCAAGAGGCTACAAAGGAACTAAGGGAGGCTAATGATCCCTTAAATAGGGTGCCAAAACCCAGAAATTAGGGTTTCACCCTCCAGCTCCAACTCGTCGAGTCACTCTTCCGACTCAGTGAGTTGGTTACCTAAACACATGGCCCAAACCCATTGATACACAACTAGTCAGGCAACCAACTCGTTGATTAGATCTTGAATTCATTAGAATTTATAACCATAAATTGGTATTCGAGAATAGGGGTATTACAATTCTCCCCCACTTAAACTAGACTTCGTTCTCGAAGTCTGTTGCGGCAAACATTCTCGGATAGTGCTCCCACAACTCTGCCTCCGGCTCCCATGCCCACTCAAACCCTCTTTGGTGCTCCCACTGTACCCTTACCAAACATACCTCCTTGACCCTCAGAACCTTCACCCCTCTCTCCAGAATGGCCACAGGCCTTTCCACATAATCTAGGCGCTCACCGACCTGAAAACCTACAATAACATAACTCGAGTCTACTCATAACCGGAGATCCAAATATCTATCCTTACGTCTCATCCACCATCCCCATATTCGTCACAACTGAGTGCAACTCCCCTGAATCTTCAACAATACATCTAACCTGAATGCACTCCTACAACAGTCATAACCAACACAATCTCTATGCCCACAGCCTATAACTGGAACACCCTTACGTGGTCCTCAGCATAGGTCTGGATTGCCTCTGATCCACAGTATGAGTCTGGTATGCCCTCCCTGGCCCTCAGCTCATGACTGGAATGCCCCCGATGAATGATCAAAACTACTGTTGTCACTTCAGTTTCCCAACACTCCGACCCTACAGATATTCACTTCCTCTGCCATTCTAAGGGCCCAATCGATGCTCATCTCATCAACGAACAACATAACAATACAAAAACTACTATCACACATGAATCTCAAGTCATAAACTCACTTCAACTCTTCCTGCTACCATATGATGTTTCTCAAGCGAAGTCGAAACGTCCTTGGCCCCAACTTGTCAGCCCACAACCCGAACATCGGACACCTCACCGATTATTGAACCAAAACACACACATAAACAACAGTACCACGCCCTGCCACTAACTCCTGCCAACATAATAAACGTTACATGACCCACGTCAGCCTTACATCCTACCTGGTCTTTAGTGATCCATCTTTTCCTTACTTCAGACACGCTATGGCTCTATCACGGATGAAACAACCCAAGACACATCACAATTACTCAAACCATCATCAACATACCTACCACTATCGGTCAACCAGTACGACACTCATATCTAACCCATATCACCCCCCTTCGGGTTAGAATACCAACATGTCTAATCAATTCAACTACCGAGTCGAACTTCTCAGGGTTTGTTGGCCTACCACCTCAACCCTACCATTCCTTTTGAGCCTCCGTGCCTACGACTTACAGTCGGCCCGCACCAGGTATCTTGGCCTACTGTATAGAGCATGACCGCCTCAACCCTATCCAAGACCATAGACGATCATGAGAAATATCTCATCCGGTTCCTAGAACCTGAATGACAGCATATTCTAATCCCAAACCTTCCCAAAACTGTCAAATGCCCATACGGATCCACTCTCAGTCCCCACTGGAGTATTACCCGATCCCAGAAGATGAAACCTCGGAGACACTTCGAACTGATGAGATCACCAAGACCCTTTTGAGCTCCATCCGACCACTAATAACAACTTCCGATCAACCAAAAATACACCAGAGTGTTCAGCCTACACTGCTGAGCCCTGGTAGCTAACAAAACCCTCAATCTATCAATCCAAAAACCCTTAGAGTCGAGCACACCCTTGACCAAATACTCAAACCGAACTCAATTCTTGACTAGAACTCCCACATGGTTCCCCATCTTCTGCTATCAAGCACCCATAAGACGTGTTTCTTATGTTGGGGAGTTTTATCAAACCCCCAATCAACACAACCCTCAAACCAAGCAACCATTAGGGCCTCTATTCTCCCTGTCAGGTTGTGAAACTTATCCCCGTTTCAAAACCTCTCCCACTTCTGCATCTCGGGGTAACACTTCCCCACTTAGATTCGACTAAGCCTTCATTATACATGAAAATTGGAGGATTCTCAATCCTTATCACTTCCTAACGAACGATCCAATGATAACAAACTCTTTCCCACTAGTGCTCCATTACTAGCCCATCCCGATTGATCACACACTTCCAAGAACCAGATGAAAACTTGTTGAACCCTATAGAAACCGTCATCCACTAATGCTTGAGTGACCCCACACTCATGTCCTGAAGGCCAAAAGATAAATGTTCCAACTAATACCTCGGTAACGAACCCCTTTCCGTTGGTGCTTTTGTCCGTCAATCACAAATGGTTGCTAAGACCACTGAGTCCTGACAATGTTGAATA